TCAGAAGATGATGTTATATTTTGCATATTCATCCTGATTTAACTCATATTTTTAACTAATCATCATCTTCTAGGCCAAATAAATATAAACATTCCCAATCAGATATTTGTAAACAATCATTCCTCATGCCAATCCCAGATGTATATTATCTTTGCAAACGTACAGTGATCTTCCGAAAACTGCCATTAAGTATTACTGTCTTTGTAAACTTACAGTATTTTCCCAAAAAAGAAAGGAAGAAGAAACGGTGGTTAAGTTCGATTATTATTTTTCGTTAGTCAAGACAAAAAAAAAAAATGCAGTAACAAAATGAAATCATTTCTAGATAGTTTTAAATGGAAAAAAAAGGAAAAAAAAAAAACAGGAAAGAAAAGAAGGAAAGAAACTACGACTGTAGTTTGATAAAAGTAATAAAAATGTTCAATCCTTATCACTAAAAAGAGAGAGAGAGAAAAAAGAGAGAGGAAATATGAAATAAAAAATAGTTGTACAGAAAAAAATGTATGCTTCTTCTTCATCAACTATCAACCAGGTAAAACAAAAAGAAAAGAGACAGTTAAACTGAAAATATCCCATGAAATTGTTCATTCTGATGCAAATAAATGACAACACAATCGATGATAATTTATGATAAAATATATCAAGCTGAACTTTAACCTCTAACTTTAGAATGATTAATTTAAATTGACTATTCAATTTGCTGAAAAAAAATCTGTGATATTCTCTATTTTTGAGAAAAATGATATAGATGAGTTAAATTTTGATTTCGAATTAAATTTTATTAGCCCAATAATAATGAACCATTATGAATCTAATGCACAAAAAGCTAAGTATTGCTAATCACTCTTCCAATTGCGCCTGGATTCATGATGATAAGCTTATTATGAAATGTTGCAATAATTGTTAACCATTAATAATGTGGTAGAATTAGTACTCCATGCATTAAGTTAACATCAATAACTGCTGCGGCGGTATATCCGACTTTAGGAACGAAATATATATTGGTATATTATCATTTATAGATTTCAATTCATTTTAGTATACAATTACTATCATTATTACCGGTCGATAATTTCAGTAGTACCCTGGAAAAATACCTATTTGCTTAATCTTTAACCCCTTATTTTGTAATTAAATCAAATGAAATTAAGAACGTGCACTTATGAATTCAAAATAAATTTTGAAAATTAATGAATTAAGTATCTGACTAAAAAAATAAATAAGTATTATTTGATCGATGAACAAATAAGTAAGGATGATTTGTGATAAAATTATACACCCATAATATTTGCTGATAAATATGATATCATATGAGAATAAGAAGAATAAATTTTTAGTAAAATAAACATTTTGGTAAAAATTAAAAATTTTCGGTGAAAAAAAAAGACAGAAATATTAAATATTAATCAAATTTATCAGTTATTATTCAATGATAAGAATACATGACGGATCATTTGTTGTGAAAATGAATGAGATTCATAGGCCAAGTATCAAATATGCCCAGTAATTCTTTGATATCATTTCTCTCAACTAGAACTGTTGTGGAAAACCATTTAGAGTAACTATAACAAGTCTTTTCAAGTATGCAAGAAATAGAACGGAAGATATCCATCTCTCGGGAAATAGTCTGTCATCATTCCTTCTTACCCTTTACATATCACAATCACGAAAAGAGCTATCCCTTAAAACTAGGCTTGCTTTGTCATATATATATATATGTGTGTGTCTGTGCATGTATGCGTGTGTATGTATATATGTGTGTATGTCTGAGATCACTGCAACATTCCGGGTAGAAGAGATTCAAAATTTTCGATATAATGGCAGAAATGATATTAAAAAAGGATGTTAATGATGAACGATAAAAAAACAAAAAACAAGATAGAATCCAATTCTATTACTGAAAACTATCACCATTTATTATTATTATTTATTATTATTATCATTATCATTATTATTTATTATTATTATTATTTATTATTATTATTATTTACTATTATCATTATTTATTATTACTATTATTATTATTATTTATTATTATTATTATTTATTATTATTGTTA